CTAGCCGCGCTAACGGATATAATGAGCTGTCAAGAAGGTGGAGGAGAGTCCTCTCCAGTCAGACTGAGAGACTGATAACTACAGCTCAGGTGAGGTAAAGGACTGAGTGCTTAGATAGTTAACTTAGTCTAAGTTCTCTGTGGGTCTCAAACGGTTTGGTCACCATTTATGTAAACACATATTTCCATTTGAAGGGGGAATGATTAGTAAAATATGGATGAATAATAAAAAAAATGTTTTAACTAGGTGAAAAAAGGTAAGAAACTCTAAAAACTTGTTGAGAGCTAAAAGTAGTCTTTGCTTCTGCCTCAAAGAGGAGCAGGGGGGAGAGGGGGGAGACGGGTGAGGCTGGTTCAGGAGCCCAGACACACTATGCCATGCTGACTATAAATGAACCAAAAACAAATAAATAAACAAGTTTCAATGTTTTTTCATATTGGATATGGTATGTTATTGGTTATGGCCATGTTCTTATGATTTATTTAAATGTATACAGTTCTGTTTCATATGGGTTTAGTCTCTCTTTATTTCCCCCTCAAAGTGCACCAGATTGATGCATTGAAGTCCAACATTTAAAAAAAAAATCTTACCGGGGGAGCACCCCCCTAGAGGATTTGAGGTCCACCTCCACTTAAAATATGTTCACATGGATAGGTTCCTAAATAGATTTGCACTTTTTTTTTTTTTAAATAGTAACCCATGTCCATATGTTTATTCTGGGGTAGTAGATTAAAAGTTTAGGGCTATCACTGGGCAGCGACGCTGTAAATATTGACAAATAAATCCAGAAAAATGGCACAAAAGAAAACTGGTAGTGGCCTGGCTTGGTGTATAATTCCCAGCCTGACTTATTGTCCCAGTCCGGCCCTGGGCAGTGATGACATATAGAGAGCTTAAATGGGTACAGTGGAAGGCTGTCTTTGTCAGTGGATAGTTTCAGTTTAGGGCCTCAATTGTTTGGGAGGAGAAATTCAGGATAAATTGTGATTTTGGACATGAAGTGTCTGGGGTCATATCATTCGGTTGGATATCATATAGCTTTAACAGCAGACACACAAATACTGAAACACATGTGTTATTATGCAGGGAAGGTTAAGTAAATGTACTTAAGTACAATTTTGAGAGACTTGTAATTTACTTGAGTATTTAAATGTTTAGCTTCTACCCCACTATTATTCAAAGGTAAATAGTGTAATACCTTTAGTTACTTTACTACTACAGATTTGGATGAATTATGTGAAATCTAATCAAGTGTTAAATCAGACTTTAGTTCCACCTGGAGTAAATTCACAAGATATCCTGCAGTATACAAAGTCATTCAAACTAGCTGCACCTTTACCAGCTTTGAGAAAACTTTAATGATCAATCATTATAAAACATATCATATATATTATTCTGAAATGGACCAATCTGCACAATGAATAATTGTGGTACTATATTTGTAAGCTAATACTTTTCTACTTTTACTTGAGTAACATTTCGAATGCAGAGTATTACTGGAACAGAGTATTCCTACACTCTGGTACTTCTACTTTACTCAAGTAAACGATCTGAGTTCTTCTCCAACCTCTGGTCATATCTCATAGAGGGCGTTAGACGCTGTACAGGGACCAGTGTGTGTGGTTTCAGGAGCAGTTTGTTCGGCAGAATATCCACTCACCTCTCTCGCTATGAGGTTCAGGGCATCGTCCTCCGCCGTCGACTTGTCCTTCTTGGTGGACCTTTTCCGTCCTGCGCCCTGAGTCCCCATGTTGTCTCAAACTTCTCCACTCACTGTAGATCAAGTCACACTCCAGAGAAAGCGCAGAATAATCCAAACAGAGCTAGTTGGGGGCTCTCATGAGTCGCTAAAATATCGAGTTAAAGGCGAGCAGACCAAACCGACCGTGTGTAGCAGCGCTTACAGCGTGGGTCATTGTCACACATCCGTTTCTCACTCCTTCCTGTGTTTCTGTCTCGAGCTACACTCAGCTCTGCTTCACACTGACGGGGACTGGCAGCATCTGCCCCACGTGCGCTTCTGATGCGTTTACCTAACAAACTCAGTCAAAGAAAGCGTTCACTGTAGCTTTAAACCTTGTCTGTTTCTGTCTCACATGTATTCACTTAAAACAAACGCCGATAATTAAATACTAAAGTAAGCTGTAGCTAAAACACTGGTATTGTGGTGTGTTTGGCCTCGTGTTTATCTAGCAGCAGTGTGACTCCACCACCTGACGAATTCTCAGCAGGAGACTCGAACCTGTCACTCTGACGAACTTCGAAGCATGTCCTCGATCAAGCTGCCTTCACGTGAGGTCGGATATATAGGTTGCAATAGAAACGTCATTTTGTCAACAAACCACACTGGTTAAGCAGACATTGTAGATCTAAATACGATTAGCTACGGTAACGGTTTATTAATACTACTAATAGGAAAAGCCAACTGATTAAATCTCTCTCAATTTCATTTTAAATTATTGTACTTGCTTGACTTGGACACCCTCGACATCTTTTGGCGAGTGAAACACATGAATGAATACAACAGATGGTAGGTGTGGGTTTGTGTAGCCTACTGTGTGTTTGGTCATTGTAAAGAAGGGGAGAGGAGTCTACAAACATTCAAATAATTAAAACTTGACTAGGCTTACTAACATAACGTAACTTTCTATAGGCTACTCTTAAAACGTTAGCATTACATTAAAAAAACATCTACAAAAAGCGAGAAGAATAACAGTGTAGGCCCTAATTAAAGCACTTTATATGTGTCTATCCTAACCTCTGGAGGGGACTACATGTTCAGGGCTTCAGTTTCAGACAGATATCCCAGCTCTACTCTGTCACACCCCTCTGCTATTTCTAATGACGAGCGAACTCTAAAAACAGTGTTGGGTTTCTTATAGCCAGACAATAGCTCAGTTTGAATAAGAACCAGGTCGATCCCTCACTCTTTATGTAATGGTCCACTATAATGTGTGTGATATATTCAATAGTGAGTTGATAGTGACTTTACTTCATACTTTGTATATCCTGTGGTAACCCTTAACACTGTTGAATAATTTGTAACTTATAATATAGAGAAACCTGTGTGATATTTTCAGTGGTGTAAAGTAACTACTGTAAGTAGATGTACTCAAATACTGTACTTAAGTTTAATTATGCTTATTTTTACTTTTACTTCACTCCATTTATTTAGTACCTTTAGTTACTTTACAGATTTGGATAAATTGATGTGAAATATAATCAACTCTTAAATCAGACTGTATAGTTACACCTGGAGTAAACCACTTTAATGCATCAATAATTATAAAACACATCAAATACTTTATTCTGAAATGGACAATCTGCACAATGACTACTTTAACTATATTTTGATGCTAATACTTTACTTTTACTTGAATAACATTTTGAATGCATGCCACATTAAGTACTTTGTTTTGCGTAGGCACAACTTTACATTTTATTTTGGAAAGGTTTAAAGGCTTACTGGTAAAAAGGTCTTGATGTTATCATATTTTAGCACTAAAAAAGAGAGTTAGAATGCATAGTGAAGGTTCCTTCAAAGTATTGAATCGATGAGACACTTGCATTTAAGCAACTGAATACATTTGCCTAAAGGTTATTTTATGACAAAGTGGTTCCCAGACCATCATATTCGAATTATGTTACCATGGTATTGATAACTGTAATGTCTGGAATGACTGTGCGCACGACACTTTATCATTATCACTGGGCTGTGATAATGCAATGACTCCCTCTTGTGTTGAATCAGTGCCTTGCAAAGAGATAGAGGAAAAACACGAAATTTTTGTGTCCAATTTTGAATGACTTAACCTAAGTTATTTCACCATGCATATATACATTCATATTAAAACATGCTGTAAAATAACACCATACAAAAATAAAGTTTTCCTTCATTAAATGTTGTTAATGAACTGAATGAATATATAACTTCAATAAAAAGACATCTGGCATCTGATAGAAATAACACTGAACTTTGGAAGAAGACCACATTTCTCATCCAGTTTGCCCCCATCAAAAACTCCCCAGTGTAATTTACCAAAAACATGACCATTGGTTTGTCACGGTTGTCCTCCTGTGTTATGTGTAATGAGCATGTTAAGCGTGAGTGCATGTGATGTTTAGCTTACAATGGCCTCGTACGTGTTATAGCTCTGTTGTGGGTGTCTAAAAGGAAGTGAAATTATGGTGTCAGCCTTTTACAAGTTAAGACTGGACTTTGGTTTTACTTTTATTTTCTGTAAAACCAGTTAAAGCTTGCGCAGTCAGACACGGCAGAGAAGACATTACTACATCTCTGACAGAGTTTGGAGTAGTTGTTGCTACAGGAGACGGAGGACTGCTGAATCAGGACTTGAGGACCTTCTGGGACTTTTTACTATCTTGTCCGTCTGTATGTCATGGTTATTACTCTTTTGAAACAAAGTGAACTTTTGATGGGGGAAAAGCTCCCAAAGGTGCCAGGAGACCCCGATCTCCGCAGTGACACTTTGAGCAGACCGATGCGGACCCTCAGGGTTAAGATGGTTCTTCTGGGGGGCTCTGGTGTGGGAAAGTCCAGCCTGGCCCTGCGGTTCTGCAAGGATGAGTTCAGGAGGACATCACCTACTGTAGGCTGTGAGTTCATGACACTTCCAGAGGCAATGATGTATTGGGGGAAAACATATTTATTCAGAAAATAATTAAAATATATATTTTGTGATGTTGTGAAAGTTGTTATTTGCCTTCTTGCTGAAGGTTGGATTCAAAGAACTTAACTATACTCATGATTCCTTAATGGCTTAGCATTCAGCCTGGAAGCAGTGGAAACAGCTAACATGGCTGTAGCTGCAGTAGAAACAAATTCTTAATAACAGCTGTTAAAAGTTTAACCTATTCCAAAATATGTGTATAGCTCAAAAACAACATCCAGTTGTGGTCTCTGTAACTTATGTGTTTAGAATATTTCTCAGCGAGAAACATTAACTTTCTGGAGAAACCACAACTTCTCTTTTAAACCTCAGTTTTTGTACGGACTAAACAAACAAGAGTATTTGTTAACTAACTTCATTGGAGCTTGAAGGCATATTTTTTTCCTGGAAAAAGCCAGACTGGTTGTAAAAAGTGTATCCAGTTTTGATGCTAAGCTAGGCTAATGACTACTGGCTATCGCTTCATAGATCTAAATAATTGATAAAGTTCTCAATTTTTTATTCTTTCTCTAGTTAATGAACTTATTTCCCAAAATGTCAACTTAAATATTTATCATAATTATATAGTTGTATAATTTAATAGTTTGGCATGGCTCTTATATTTGTGATTTTCAACATAGAATCACCAAACAAAATACACACAGTTTTTTTGGCTTTTCAAGTCTTATTTAGATTGAAAGCTGTGACGGTGCTTCCACAAGTGAGACAGAATGTTGCGTTAATAGCTTACAGGTCACCTGTTGTGCAAAATCCACATTTTCATGTCTTTTATACATCAACATGTGTCCCCTCTATGTAAAGACATTCTGAACGTTTCAGGAAAAAAGATTCGCTCACTTTTTGTCCCGATCCATTTATATAAAAACCTGTCTGAAAATGAGCTGATCAGATTTTGGCCACTTTATGATGTCATGACGATTTTTTGGCCACATTATCAGCTGAATCTCCTCCTCTAGCACCATTGTGCTCTTTTTGACCAAATATCCCTAAGAGGGGCGTTGGGAGGTGCTCCTTATTTTTATCTAAAGTAACAGACAGACAATCAGCACTTTGGAAACAGGGCTGAAACAGAGTTATGGCATGCTACAATGGGTGATCTGTTTGCTATTTCGAGCCAAACACTTCAGAGAAATGTTTGTATCCAAGAACTATATTGATGATAAACAGTATAATAGGGGACCTTTAAAGGTCACCTATCATGCTATTTTTAGGCAATAGCATATAGGTCTCAGATATATAAAAAAATAAGTTTTCTCAAAATACCAAACAGATCACCCATTCTAGCCATGCATCATACCCTTCTATTTCAGCCCTGTTACTAAATTGCTGATTAATTAAGCTTAAAAAAATTAAAAAATTGGAATAAAAATAGAGGGCGGAGCTTATGCCTGCTCATGCGGGACCCGGCAGATACTGGGTGTTTCTAAATGTCGAGGAGGCTTGCTTGGTAGCACATGTATCTCTGCGTGAGTTCCTTCAGAAGTGAGGCAAGAATACCTGCTATAGCCTCGGAAAACGAAGAATGGAACAGGCTAGCAAGTGTGCTATCTGTAGGTGTGCGTCATATGAGAGGCCCCGCCTTACATTTTCCGCCAAAGATTTTGGAAATTGGTCCGTGCACAAAGCATTGTGGGGATTTTAAGACCGCGGAGTCAACACATGCGCAGCCTCGAAATTTCCCACAACGAAGTACACCGGCCTTGGTAGAATTCAAGTATCCTGGAAATTGGAACAGTCCTTCGGCGGCACTCGATGACGTATCTTGAAATAGTGGCTCTGGAGCAGCTTTACTCGGGATTGAGAAACACCCATTGTCTAAATGTTGCGGTGATGAAACGCCATATCATGTTCCAAACCACATCAAGGATTATTTCTGAAACAGTATGGAGCTCAAATGCTTTCTCTCTCGCGGGTTTACCACAAGGACCGTACCTTTTATATTCTGCTTCTTTACACATATTCTCTCCAGTACAGCGTTAGCTCTGAGTGTTAGCGATGCTTGCTAATGTGAACACAGACCAAATTACTTCCAAAACACGTGGGGCATTGTTTCTGATACAGCAACGTTTCTGATAGGGCCGTGGGTCCAAATCTGGATCAGCTCCGTTGTAACCCCGTTTTTAGAGATTTGCGCATGGAGGAAAAGAGAGAGGGTTTTATTTTCTGACAGTTTGTGTGTTTCCTGACACACTGGGGCACATCATTATCTATAAAAGACATAAAAAAGTGCATTTTGCACGATAAGTTCCATTAAAATGCGTCAACATGACACGCTAAACGTTGCTGATCTGTGAAGAAATTTGTCCCGGATGATGTCATTGTGCTGTCTGTCCCCCCTCCCCTCCCCCTCAGGTGCATACCTCACACAGTTGGTGCATCTGCGTGAAGCCACTCTTCGCTTTGAGATTTGGGACACGGCAGGGGAGGAAAAGTACCACAGTGTCACCCCCCTTTACTACAGAGGAGCCCACGCTGCACTGCTGGTCTATGATATCAGCAAAAGGGTAACGGAACAGACATCTGACCACTAAAATAACTCATCAACTCTCATTGTTTGGGCTGATGCTCATTACGTTGTTTATCTTTGTGTGTGTTTGTGTCAATAAAGGACACATTTATCAGAGCTCAAGTGTGGCTCAGAGAGCTGGAGAAGCAGTACTTCTCAGGATCCACCGTCCTGTGGCTGGTGGGCAACAAGGGCGACCTGGAACAGCATCGGCAAGTGTCAGCGCAGGTACACACACGGAATAACTCATTTTATCACAGTCAATCAGTCTATAAAATGCTACCATACACTGAAAAAACTGAAATGTTGACTTTAATTAAATGTATTAACAGATTTCACATAACTGTATTAGGTTACATGAAAGCAATAACATTAAGTTCAAAGAAAAATATATACATGTTCAACTTAATATTGTTGCTTTCACCTGACATTTTGTTGACATAATACATTTAATTAAGGTCAACGTTTCTGTTTTTTCCTTTTATATTACAATCTATAACATTCATTGTCATGTGTCGTGGACCACATACAGACGGTTGCAATATTGTGCATAAACCTGCAATGTGTAATATCGTTTTTAATTGCTGCTACTAATTTTTTAGACACAGCTGATTGTCATCATTTATATTCTATTACTAATTTGTGCTTTTCTTCTCTACATTTAATAAGTAAACGTACTCTTTATTATTGCATTACTTCTGTGGCTGCCCAAAACGCTTCCATGAGGAGAAACACGTTGCATTTAAGAAAATTATGCAAATATAAAAACCCAAATGTGCCAAAACACATGCAAATGAAGAAACACCTTCACCAACTTGACAACATATGCGCAGCATTTACTAAAAGAAACGAAATGCTGCAGAGAAAAAAACTCAGCAAGTAGAACAAAAACCAGGGGACACTAACAAGTGATACACACAGCTGGGAGTGCTATAGAGAGCCGAAGTCCCTCCCTTGAAACTCCATGGTCGTTTCTCAATGTTGAGTAAAGCTGCTGCAGAGCCACTATTTCAAGTATACTACGTCATCGCGCTGAATGCTGGGCCAACCCTTTCATGCATAGAGGTCACTACAGTGGACAGCTATTCAAAAGGTGTTTTCTTGTATATGCATTGTTTTTTTGTTGCATAGTTGCACCATCAGCCACTACATAGGACCCTATTGCATCATCCCATACACTGCCCCTCAGTGGAAAGTCAGTGTAAGTGCATGATACATGTCTCTAAACCAAGATGGACGACAGAAAGCCACATGGACCAAGTCACCCATCTATATCTTGCCAATCCTTTTATGGAAAGCGTCCCCTGCAGGTATAAAAAATGTGGTGACATCAAGTAAGAACTAAGGAATCATATAATTCATAAATTATCAAAGTATTGATTTTATGTTTGCAGGAAATCATGATTAACCACCTGTCCACTACAGTGGACGTCATGCATCATTGGCTATATTTCAACTACAATGAATACTGGTACTGCTGCTGCTGTACCCAGGGCCGTCCCTCCCTACAGGCAGATCATGCAGACTGTGTGGGGCCTCACCTTGTGGAGGGGGCCACACCTTGCGGAGGGGGGCCTCATCTGAGGCGCACCTATGCGCTTATGTGGCGCAATTAGGGTGGCGCGGCACGGTTTCGCCGCTGCGAGGCTCCACTAGCACTCATCAAATAACTGTGCGTGGGGCCTCAAATTGGCCCCTGGCCCTGGTTATTCTTGAAAATACTTCATCTGCAATATCCTTTTGGGCCGTAAATCAATATACTTATGTTATTATAATGTAATTTTAAGTTTGCACATCTTTATTTATCTCTTCAATTCAAACCCTGAACGCATACTGTCCACCTGAGTGGACATATAAAAATGTCTTTGAAAAAACTAGATTTAAAAAAAAAAAAATTCAAATCTTGTTTTTCATGCCCCAAGAGCAATAATAACACTTGGTAAAAAAATCCTGACTGAGGCTTTCATAATTCATGCATGAAAGGGTAGCTATATTTTATTACCGTGTAAAAGATTTTTTGTTTTATAGGCTATTATATTTCTTGTTTTTTATATTTTGGGTCATTACAGAATTGGAGGACAATTTAGACACCAATATTTTTGAAAAAATAACCTTTTATTTTATAATTTTCTTTTATGTATTTAGGAAAAACAGATAATAAACCATAAAAAAAAAGTGATTTGCCCAG